CAGCTGAGCCCGCGGTGGGCAGCCAATGGGGGGGGGCAGTGCGCTCGCTCGCTCCCTTTCCCCTCCTCAAAGGGGGCCTGCGCGGGTAGAGCCGGGTCGCTGCGCATGCGCCATTACGTCATGGGGAGCGGGGATGTTACAGAGCTACCCGTTGTGTCTGCACACGTGGTCCCTTGTGTCGGGCAGCGGGGTGCAGCACGTGGCCGCTGCCTCGGCGCTTGCTGGTGGGCCCCTAACGGCCCTGCCTGCACCTTACCTGCGTGGCACAGTTCCCTCCTGAATCGCGCCGGTCACACTTAAAAGTAGGTACCCCGCCCTAGAAGTGACTATGCAGCTATAAAAGGCTCCAGAGTTAGCTCTTGAAAGCGTGTCACAGCTCTAGAGACGGTTTGTGTCTAGCTGCCATCTGAAGGTGTGACGGGTGCTCCCCGACTCGGAGGCAGCTGCCGGAGTTTCAGTGATGGAGCCCCAGCAGATTCCCCGGTGCCGCAGCGGGGATTCCTCTGGTCCGTGTTGACTGCCAGCAGGCTGTGGATCATACTGCCTTCCCAAGTAGCTTAGGGTCAAGCACGCAATAATTACAGAGCTTGCGGCAAGAATAAGGCTTTAATTTGGGGGGGTGTTCAACCTGGTGTTTTCACAGCCCTTTGGGGTATACGGTAGTGAAGCAAGGTTTACTTGACATCTCTCTAACTAGGCCTGCACTTTCATAACCACCTCATACTTGTCATCTGACCTGCTTACACCAAGCAGAAAGCTGTGCCATTTGTTCAAAAAAAAAAAAAAATACAACCACCCATGCCTCACACACCGCATAGTGCAGGTGGTTATTGTCATAGGCACTGACTGTTTTGTTGCTGGTGGGTACTTGCAGGAGTTAAGCAAACAATCCCCCCGCCCAACACACACACCCTTCAGTGCCCATTATGAGCCCCATGCAGGCCCAGAAGAGGCAGCGTGTTACTTCTACCCAGCTCTGCGGTGTCTATAAAGTTCAGGCGTTTTAGTGCAGCTTTTTTGGCACTTTCATCTAGTAGCTGATTCGATCAGCTATTAGATAAAAGTGCCAAAAAGCTCTGCTGAACTAGATAAAAATGCCAGAAAGCTCCGCTGAAGCACTCAATCTGTACAGATGCTGCAGAGCCAGGTTGAAGTCAAGCACTGCTTCTTCCTGTAAAGTGTGTCTTTTGGGGTTTGTTTGTTTTTTTAACATCTGCAAGTGGCTCCATGGGTTCTGGGCTCCTGCTATTTTTTTTCAGTGGATGCTTGAGCCTGGGAGCACTCAAGAGTCAGGGCCTATGGGTTTTTTTTAGGGGTCTACTTAAATCACGATTTGACTTTCTAATTTTTGCAGTTTAGTCACAACATAAAGAACAAATTCTGCAGACATTTCACAAATATGCTCACCTACCCTTGGACTAGAATATAATGAAAAATGAACAATAACACCCAAGAAACATAGTTTTTTAATCCCAGGTCTCAAATTTTTCACTTATTTTTTCAAGAAATGTTTATGTGAGCTGCAACTATATTTACAGACAAAATGTTTTCACTGCATCAGTCACCTTGCTAACTGTAGGAAGAACCCTAATCAAAACATAGCTTTCTACAAGTTAGTTCAGGAATTCTAATTTTAAATTATTAATGTATATTAACAATAATCATTTGCCATACATTCAAAACTCTGCAAAACTAATATTAAATCATCCTCATTTCTTTTTGTAGTGTAAATCTCTACATAGTATATAAATTATCAAATAATGACAATCAATGGCATAATATAATACATACATTTATACTGAATTATCCAAATAACTACAAATAATTAATTTCACTTATTATCTTGCTTTCTGCTGCCTCAGGACTTATGTGTGGGGACTCCAGCAGCAACTGCATTACAAGTGCAATAGGCATCAGGGAAATAATGTTTTAGGTCTGGGACCAAAGCTCTCATATAAACCTTTTCCTGTCTGCCCAGCTTTGTGACCTGCAGGAGTAAAGGGTCTTTTTGAATTAGTGTAAGTGTTCCTTCTGCAGGTACTAAATTTCATGACTATGTAGCCTTTAGTGAATATAGTTCACTATATTCTGAGCTAGGCACTACAGAAAAAAAAAATGTTTATGGCTACCAAAAGGGTAGCCAGTGAGGGCAAATAACTTGAATGTAGACATTTTTTAGGCAGGAAAGTTTCTTTGAGTAGATGTGATATCTTTTACTACTCAAGGTACTACTACAAAGTTCTGCTCAAATAACCTTGCCTGCCTATGTCCTTAGACCAACATGGCTATAACCAAACACCCAGCAACATTTTTAGGAAACCTAAAGATAAGCACATTGAAAAATGAAACCAAAACAAGATCTAGCATGTTCCATTATCTACTCTCACCTCCTACCAAACCTTCTGGTTTGGGTATCAGTCAAATAGCAGATACTCCACATTTCCCCATTCTGGGAATCTCAAAATATTCCTCTATAGCACAAGGGTTACATATGTATAAGCTATGTTCATTTTAGTGTTTCTTCATCCTAGAAATTTAGAGTACACTCATTTGATAGATTCTTTACTTTTAACACCCTCTTTTAGTTAGCATTGTTGTCACATTAATATCTACCTATTGCTATGGAATATCTAGTTAAGACATGAAAGAATCTTTACAAAAAGTTAAGATTTTACTTCTCAGAATTCCCAGTCTTAATGATACACCTATTCTGCATAGGCATGTAGTTCATTATACCATGTGTTTAGCTTTTTGCATTTGCTATTACAACTTTTAAGTACATTTATAATCATTTACATTGGCACACTAAGGGCCTTGTTACACCTTACGCTGCAAGCTAAACATCCCTGCTCACCCTGACTCTGGAAGGGCCACTGCATCCTGGGATGCGGGAGAACTTCATCGTGGGTGGAATAGCTGTGGAGAGTGACCGCGCTTTAATGGAATAGGAGCAAAATTAAGCAGATTAGAGATAATCCTGCCCTGGAGTGGCATAATTTTAAATCAAATTATGAGTGCCTCAAGCTAAGGCATTTAAAAGGTGTTAATATGCACCCAATACAGGGGTTAAGAGCGCCAGAAGCCACCTAAAATTACTGTGTAATAAGGTCCTAAGACCAAGGAAGGCCTACTCATGCCAACTTCTATGCTCACTATTCTTTGTTCTTGCCTGTTTCCTACTTGTGCTACACTACTGATATTTCTTACAGTAACAGGCTATATTTCCCCCTGGCTGTTCAGTGAGGCCTGGCCTCAGCATCCCTGGGTCAAGAAGATGCCATAGAGTCCCCTCTACCTCTTGCCCTCCCCCTCAGTATTCTCTTTACCCCCCATAGTCTTTCCATCCTCCTTTAACAGACTCTACAGCTTCTTATTTCCCATGGCCTTATAAATAATCTAGCACCCACAACCATTAAGTAAGAGCCATTTTATATGAGGGCCTAGCTTCAGTCTAATTGCCAACAGTGGGAACTAGCAACCACCTTTATTAGGGACAGTCTCATCATCACCATGTGCCCACAGGCTGTGTGGGCTATCGCTGTGGCTTCAGCCCAGCTGGCAGTAATATAAGAAGGCAGTCATTTTGGATAAGGTAAAATTCAACAGATGGCTGCCTTTCATGAGGAGGTAAAAAAACAAACAAACCCAACAACCCACTCAGGGTTGAGGAGTGGGCAGATGTGGAAATCAGAATTATTTCGTAATTTTTTTCAATTCTTGATGGGGAGAAGCTGGAAATTCTGTACCATGAAGCAGTATTTAAACTTAGTTGGGTCTTCCAGTGAGAACAAAATCATTGTATTCTAAAATCTCATGATTTGCAGGGCAATTTATGGGGAATCGTGACTCCGCTTTAAAGTGGATATGGTAGAGACTTTCTCGCTGTGTTTTGCCACCATCTCCCATTAGTATCAAAATAACTGAGGCCAAAGGCTGCATCTGATCAGGATGAATGCCATCCCCACAAAATCCTTTTAGATGGAGGGGAAGCTGCCTCTAGCAAAGGTGGATCCTTTTTTCTGTTGTTCTCAAAGGTCCCATAGATAGTCTCTGATAGGATGGTGACCCCTCTGGTCTCTATTTGGGGCTAAGGCAAGGATGAGCTATAAGTGTGGAGGTGTAGAGAAAGGGATCAGAGAGGTTGGGTCAGAGGAATTTACTGTAGGCTGCTGACTCTGAAACTCATGCTAAGCTGAGGCCTACTCACAAAAGTTAGAATACAAAATACTGATGTTAACTGCATAGTGCAAGTGGATGTGAGTTCATAGCTAGGCCATCTAAGAAGAAATAATGAGGTATCCCTTCCAGCTTATCTTTCTATATTCATGATGATTTCAAGCAGGCTCCTAGTTGTCTCGTATGTAACCGTGTGAAATGTCTATCCTTGATTAATATAGTATGGTAAATATTTCTTTTTGCAATTATCTTGTGTTTATGTGCAGGAAGAGACATTCTCCATATGTGATAGGTGTCTCCTCCTGATTTCGTTCTG